CTCGACCGGAAGTGTGCCAGCGAGGACGCTGGGCCCCAAGGGGGGTGGATTGTAAGACCCGTGTCTTGGGGAAACAAAAACGGTGAGCAATCCCACATCACTCGGGGAGGGAAAGGTGAAGTGCTTTAAATGTGTGGGCACTTCTCTTCCTAGCATGAGGCTTTTTGGGAACTCATTGGCTTCGGAGTCATAGGAACTCCGAAGTTAAGCGAGTTGGGGGCCAGAGCAATCCTAGGATGGGTGACCCACTGGGAAGTTGCTTGTGAGCTCCCAAAAATAAAACCGTGAGGGTAGAGAGGGGGCCCAAAGCGGACAATATCGTGCTAGGGGAGTTGGGTCGTGACACTTATAATGAGTTAGCATCGATCTTCTCCCCTGCAAATCTGTCAGCTGCTGCATGTAGGGAGCACATGCAATTTTTGAATCCAACAAGTTTTCCCTTTTCATGTTGGCTTTCTCCGTCACATAAGTTATAGAGATTTGATCGATCAGTGGATCCAATGACGTGGAACACTAGGAAAGATGTGTATATAAATAGGCATATATACACACAATGCTATGAACACCCTTCACTTGAGAAAGTTTCACCCTCATTTGATCAGTCAAACACTACTTTAACTTCCTCTGCTAGTTTGCTAGCTACACTTGCAACCATCATGTCGTCTTCTCATGAGAAAGGAGGTGCCAACACAAGGAGGAGGGGAAGGATCATCTTCAGGCACCAAAAGAGATCCAAATTGTCTGTATGTCATAAAAAGGAAGCCTGGTGGTGGTGGTGTAGACACCATTTTCGCTGGTGGTGGTATAGACACCATTTTCGCAAAAGTGGATCCTGCTGAATTTGATGGACTAGAGGCTCTTTATGCCGAGGTCGTGCGCTGGGTGGAGTCTGCATATACCATGGGGAAGGGGCGTGTAAGCGTATCCTTGGAGAAAACCTTGGAGAAAACATATGAAGAGGCTCCGTTTTATAACGACGACTTCAGTCGTGGAATGCTGAAAATTATCTGCAAGTCTGCATTAGAGGATCATGATCCACGGGACGATGACT